ATACTTCATGTTTAGGCTTTCAAACCTAATTATTGTCTCATTCAAAAGTGAATAACCTTCATGTCGCTAGGAAAACAGCAATTGAAAATAACATCTTTTTTCGGGGTCACACTCGAAATACACCTGTACCTGCTTTCGGCTACTTCATCTTCGCAATAACATATTAAAATAAGAAAAATATAGTTGAAGTATTTTGTTTTGAAGATAAACCCACCCAGCAACAAAGCATTCAAACGACAATTTTGTGTATCAAGAGTTTCCTGGTGGCGTATATAAAGGCTTACCCCCACTCATGGCCTATGCCCCTCCCCCGTGAATCCCCCACCTTCTTAGAATTTTGGGGAGGTTCAACGGAGCGTTGATCTTGTAAATATAGTTGAGTGCCCTCCTCCAGAAAATGAGGCCCCTTAAATTGGATCCCATCAGTCACTGCCATTATATTTCTGTTGCAAATCTTTAAACTGTTTGCGCATTTCAAGACAAATTTAAACAATTTAGTGTTGGATTTTGTGAGTGTGTGGTTTGTAATTTGTATAAAACCTGATATCAAAAAAAAAAAAGTTTATCCCAACTTCTACTTTCTCTTTTAACCCCTCGCCCGCCCGCCCTGTCTGTCTGCTTTCCCCACTTTTCTCGGCTATGGCCCGAAAACAGTTCCAGCCGATTTAGCAACAACACGAATCACATGTCTGTTCGGGTTGCTGGCGAGATTTCGATCGGCCATGTGCGCCATATTAATTTCGTATAATCTATTCAATTATTTGCATGAAGTCTATATTTCTGCTGCAGTCATCACAACAAAATTAATCAATCGAAGATGCATTTTCCTTGCTTTTTTTGAGTTTAACCTCCTTCCAGGCTCGGATCCGGGGGGGGGGGGGGTTAAAAAGAAACAGCTATGTCAAAAAAACAAATTCACAGAAATTCATTACAAATAATGCAAAACACCCCCCTGCTCTGACATCCAAAAAATGATACTGGTAATAATGTCCGCCTTTGCACAAAATACTGACAGAGCCAGCTTGGTTAGGGTGTATATGTACACTATTCTGCAATATAGTGTTAATAATCGTCGGATTTGAACAGCGCCCCCATTGAAAGTATGGTACGAGCCCCCGCCCCCTTTCAAAGGACAAATCTGCGATGACCCTACAACCGATATCTTTTTTTATCACATACTCTGACTGTGTGCCAAAATGCCATACTTGTATCATATCATCAAATGCACAATCCCTCCACATTGGCCTATCTGCCACCCTACATACTTGGCGATAGTCATTTTGAAATACTTTTATGTCGGGAAAAAATGAATTAAAATGAATTGTAATCGTGTAGTTTAGGACCCAGTTCAGTATAAAAACGAAAAGACACTTCATGTTTAGGATTTCAAACCTAAATATTTGGCGATGATCATAGAAGCGTAATATCTTCTGGATATATAAGTGCAGGGCTTTGATTAATCACAAATAAGCTTTGAACGGAACTTGTAAAAAAAAATAGAGGTGTCCTCAACTACACGATTACCGAATGAATTTGGACTGCGGAGAATTCGCTGAAGTCAACCCATATCATCTGGTTCAACCAGAAGAGGACGACTAATACTCGGTGTGATTCATGATCCCCCTTCTCTCAACAATTACATTTGTCAAATATTAATTATAGAAAGTCAGATGAGCAAAAGAGGAAAAGCGCTCTCTGGCGTGAAAATGACCCCCAACCTTCAACGACTGACAGGGAAACGTTTTGCCCTTGGTGAACAATGTGTGTATTGTTGGACAATTAGTATAATTTTATATAAAAAGCCAAAAGGTTTTTTCGGTGATTAAAAAAAATAACGACGTGAACTAAAAAAACAGCCCTGAAAGTGCTCTGAGGGCATGCAAATCGTGAATTGGCAGGCGTAGGCAATTTCGGGCCTATTTACTGGCCTTCACCCCTTCATTTAGCAAAACCTTGCAATTTTCAACCAGGCCACATTTCAGGCAAAAGGAAGGACCCATGAATCATATTTCATAAAACAAATGTCTAAACAGGCTTGAACATTCAACAGCTTGTACGCCTCGCTGTGTAATGAAGTTTACATTAAGATTTCCCGCTCTCTAATTGGAGTCTAAATTCCCTCTTAGGTTTAAACTATGTTACCTCGCAGCTCCTTACGTAGCCGGGGCGATTTTTTTTTTCCCAAACGAGATCGGACAATATCAAGAGAGGGCGCTCTTTCTGCGTTATGTATATTCATGATGTCCAGGCTTTAGAGAATAACAAGGAATAATGGTGTTTAAATCTCCGACGATTGACCCCGGATTTGTGGACGGGTTGGAAGTAGTCCTGACTTCTAATCAGGTCATCCGAGTTCGATCCCCAGTGAGCGTTGTTCACGTCCTCTCATTTTACCTTAAATAACTAAAGTGGAGAAGGAACATTTCTCACAAGACGTAAAAGCCTATCTTGGGTTTGTTGTGGAGAACAAGGCATTATATATGCATGTAATGGACCAATCAGAAGATGGAAGGCGGTTGTTGTTTGAAAAAAAGAAAGATTCGCGGGGGGGGGGGACACCCCCTAACAAATTCTCAGTGTCCATCAAGGATCCAAATTTTGCCCTTCACCAGAAAATTGTCATTATGAGAAAGAGCGACCTCACTGTAACTGCATCATCATGGAGGCAGCCATTTTTAATTAAAGGTTGCGCAGACCAGTAAATAGACTGACATAGACCTCAGTGCAATTACGCGCACTTTCCAAAATTATTGAGACACACTTCGAATTTAATTTTTTTTCATCATCTTTAATTTTATCATCTTACGAATCTTTAATTTTGTATGACTTTTAGGAGAAAATTCCATCCAAAGATGATCACCTTTGTGTGATCTTAACAAAAAGATACAACACTATTGTTAAACACTCAGAAAAAATACCAAGTCAGGTTACATTCGGTCAAAATAATACTTTTCGTGTCAAAGCGATACTTGTCCAGGTCGCAATGATACTTCTCTCGATCAGTTTTTTGGATCATTTGACCCGGAACATTTTCAATGAGACCCGGGAAGGTATCATATGGCTCGCATTCCGGGTGAAATTAGCCTTTCGCCAAGGCTATTGTGGCTTAAGGCTAATACAGCACGCACGAGTGGCGAAGCCACGATGCTTTTTCTAACTTGTTTTGTTGAATTATTCATATTTTTTTATGCAAATAAGTAGAGTGCTGAAAGGTTAACCAATCACAACGCAGATTTTGCCGAGTTGCGTCCATTTGTGAAAGAAGGGTGATTTTCGAAAAAACGTAAGAGGAAATAACTAAACAAAATAAGTTCATACACTAAAATAATTTCTTGAAATGCTTATATAAGTAAAATTGTAATAAGATAATGAAAGAACCATTGCGCAGTCACGATCTCGTGGAAAATGAACACTAGACTCGCTTTTTTTTTTTAATTTTGTGTCAGCATCCGGGGTGCGCGCGCGCCTGGGTTGAAGCCACGTGCGCCCTAAAAGGCTAATGACCCTTTTAGGGTAGCAAAAATCGAGATTACAAAGAAAAACGTAAGAAAATCTTGACAAGTTGGAAAAGGCCTCGTGGATTTGCTACTCGCGTGTGTGGTCTCCCGCCCCAGTCGTTTCGTCCCGCCCCAGTCGTTTCGTCCCGCCCCAGTAGTTAAACCACGATGGACTTGGCGAAAGGCTAGGGTCAAATGTGATCAGGGACTTTTTAGACTGAATAGACAACATTTTACAGGCGAACAAATTATGCTTGAAGATGGCGATCGAAGCCACATATTTCATGCTCCAGCCAGCTCAGTTAGTACATTGCTCGGTTGGCTTTACACGACAACGGCAACTTTGCTAACTTCTACAGTTTCTACAATTATTTAAAAGGACATATTTATATGTGACCAATAAAAACCCAGGCTACAACGAGATAACTTTAGTCGCAGGAGCTCATACCATGCCAACAGCATTTATTCAACAGAAATCTTAAATGTGATTACATTTGAACGAATTAAAACCCACCACCTAGAATGACTTTCATGCGTTTGTTTAGTTCAGATATTAGCGTATGATTTTCCATTAGCCTACATCGCAAGTTTAACCCTAAAAGGGCCGGGTTATTATCCCAGCCGGAATCAAACATCTCTCTAAGATCTCAGCCATCGAGTGACGAACAATTATGAAACTTGGAACACGCATAGAACAACTTATCGTAAACATACCCAAGAAATGTTATGACTATAGGTCAAAGGGTTTTGGAATTATGGCTAATTAATTATTCATATGTACGAATAGTAATTCTGCTTTTTTGTGTACACTATACGTATATGGGGATATTCAGTTTCGCTGCGTGGCAACCCGTGGTCCGAATTTTATGTTTTTGGAATCAAGAGATGCGCAAGACTCGAGGCTAAAAAGTCAGAACAGCTCGTCTCGCGAAAAAAAAATTCAAGGCTATCGCGGAAAAAGTTGAGGGGGCGGGGTGGATTCCGCCCCGGCCCTTTTAGGGTTAAAAGGAAGGCCTCATTGGCTTATTAATAACAACACAAAATGATACATGAATGCGATGCAAAGGAAACATTTCCCATAGCAAATTGTGTCAGAAAAACTCGCAGTGGTAGCATCACAATCGTGACACCCATCGGGTGTTGTTAATATTCATTTCCAGATAAAGATTCAGATTAGGATCAGATTAAAATGGTAATTTTGACAATGTGTGATTTACTCATGGTAGTATAGCTTTGTCAACAGTTTCTTCCTTTGGGAGGAATTTCAACTACATGTTAATTTAAAAAGTCTCATTTAACTCGAACAAGGCAAAGACAATACAACTTAAACCCTTCACCGTAATAATTAATCAATTGCGACTTCACCATCCCGAGGCTGTTGGCATTTAGGACTCTGAAATGAAGACCAAAAACAAAACAATAAATGAGGAAAATAAAATCACTTTTTCGGTATTGGTTTAGCTCTATGGAACTGACTTATTGTCGGGCCGCAAATGAGTCGAATTTGTTAAAGCAATAATTCAATAAAGTAAACGTCAGTTGATTTCAGTATGTCTTTGTTTTATACTCGAGGGAAAATGGCAATTGAAATAAAAAATCTACTTTCGGGGTGAAACACGAATTAGCTCGGGGAATACAGCTTTAAGAACTGGATATTTGATATTGCTTCACAGCAACCTCGTCGGTTGAAAGGAAAGAGAGGGGGCGAAATTATTTTATTCTTGGTCAGTGTGTCCGTTTGTATGAAAAAACGGTATTAACGCTAGATTTTACACTGAAAATTACAGCAATCTTGATTGAATTAAGGTCGAATGTCCACGAAAACGTACTCGACTGGTCCGATGGGTGGAATGCATGCAGAAGATATTCCACTTTTACGTTGGCTTTTTCGTTCATTTCAATGTCCACTAAAACGTGTCATTACTTCAGTGCTAAATAAGGGTCGTTCAACTTAGCTGCATCCGTTAAAGGGAATAATAGCTTCAAAAAGAGGAAAATAATCCTGGAAACTTCTCTGCTTGAGCAGCCCCCTACTTGTCAACTGAAGAGCAATGAGAAGAAAAAAAGAAAGTTCAGTGCGTCATTTTGGATAACAAATTTTAACGCTATAGATCTTACACAGAAAATTTCTTACACAGAAAACAAGGAGGTTTATTGAATTAAGGTAGAATTTCCACAACTTCCACGGGGTGCTATAGATTTTTGAATTCAGTTTGTAAATTTTGCTTTAATTTTGTTCTTTCCATTTTGCTCATCTACAATCAGCTGCGACCATAGAGCTATATTAAACTTAATTTAATTGAGCTTTATGGAACCGAGTTATTGTCGGGTCCTAAATAAGTCGAATTTGTTAAAGCAATAATTCAATAAACTAAACGTCGGTTGATTTCGGTGTGTCTTTGTTTTATACTCGAGGGAAAATAGCAATTGAAAAAAAATCTACTTTCGGGATGAAACACGAATTAGCAGGGGGAATACATGTTTCAGACTATATTGATACAAACTTAAACAAACAGACTTGTCAACTGAAGAGCAATGAGACTGAGAACATGTTGACTGTTCACTTTTTATGTTCACTGCGTTACAGATGCGTGCCCCGTGCTCTTTATAAAGGAAACGGGACACACTGTTGCTTTCCAGTGATTCTATTTTAAAATAGGGTTCCATTGGCTTCAAGGTGAGTCAATTACAGTAAATCCCATTTTTGAAACATCCCCCCCCCCAAAAAAAATCCTCATATTGATATTGAATAATTATCGGAAATTTACGTCTTGGTAACAAAAACACCCCTATAAAGACTGCTATGTCAATTTTTCGGGAGAAGTGAAATTTACCTTCAACATTTGCCATTCTCTTCTTAAAACGTATGCACTCGCCCCCCGTGGGAGTGGGTGCTGGCACACAGAGCCAGCCGGGAGGGCACTGGTACGGCAATTGATTATTGATGTCACAGACTGAGAATAAAGCAATCGGATTGAAATATGAAGTTAATCGCAATATTATACAATGCATTGGCACATTGGAAGTGTGTTGAATGTGAACATTAAATCTGATTAACAGGAAAATTAAGAAGAAATCAATTGCAAAAACTTACGATCTTGTTTGACACCAAACTCGTCGGCTGAAAAGAAAGGAAGAAAGAGAGAGGGAAGTACATTTTATTCCTGATCAGTGCGTCGGTTTGGATGAAAAAAAATGTCAACACTAAATCTTACACAGATAATTACAAGGACCTTTATTAAGGTAAGGTCGAATGGCCACTAAAACGTGTCAATACTTTACTACTGGTCCGATTGGTGGATTGTATATTGATGCTAAATATGGATGTGGTTCAACTGAGCTGCATCCGTTTAAAGGAACATACTTCAAAAAAGAGGAAAATAAGCCGAGAAACTACTCCGCTTGAGCTGCCCCAACTTGTCAACTGAAGAGCAATGAAGCGGGAAGATGTTGACTGTTCACCTTTTATGTTCACTGCGTTACAGATGCGTGCCCCGTGCTCTTTATAAAGGAAACGGGACACACTGTTGCTTTCCAATGATTCTATTTTAAAATAGGGTTCCATTGGCTTCAAGGTAAGTCAATTACAGTAAATCCCAGTTTTGAAACAAAACATCCCCCCCCCCAAAAAAAATCCTCATATTAATATTGAATAATTATCGGAAATTTACGTCTTGGTAACAATAACACCCCTATAACGACTGTTAAGTCAATTTTTCGGGAGAAGTGAAATTTACCTTCAACATTTGCCATTCTCTTCTTAAAAGCCGCGCACTTGCCCCCCGTGGGAGTGGGTGCTGGCACACAGATCGAGCCGGGAGGGCACTGGTACGGCCATTGATTATTGATGTCACAGACTGAGAATAAAGCAATCGGATTGAAATATGAAGTTCATCGCAATATTATACAATGCATCGGTACATTGGAAGCGTGTTGAATGTGAACATTAAATCTGATTAACAGGAAAATTAAGAAGAAATCAACTGCAGAAACTTACAAAAATATTGTTTGACACCAAACTCGTCGGCTGAAAAGAAAGCAAGAAAGAAAGTTCAGTGCGTCCATTTGGATAACAAATTGTAACGCTAGATATTACACAGAAAATTTCTTACACAGAAAACAAGGATCTTTATTGAATTAAGGTAGAATTTTCACAACTTCCACGGGGTGCTATAGATTTTCGAATTCAGTTTGTAAGTTTTGCTTTAATTTTGTTCTTTCCATTTTGCTCATCTACAATCAGCAGCGACCATAGCCTTTCACCAAGGCCATCGTGGTTTAACTTGCCCGCATTCAAAGCGGCGAAACAAAAACAAAACAAAAACAAAAACGAGAAATAGAAAGAAAATGTTACCTTCGTTAGTTTCGGCCGCGAGGACAGAGCCCAGGCACACCAGAACGACCAAGCAGATATAAGCCTTCATCTTGACTGCATAAAGATACGGTAACCCAGAATAATACAAATATACACAACAAGAACGGTACTAGTTCCATATACCTGCATGCATCGGGCATCAATGGGTTTTCCTGCCATGTTGTCTTAATCATGATAATGCCAGAGGTGTAATGACTCAGTTTAGCTGGTGGTTAACAAGATAAATTGAAATCTGTATCTGCAGATATCTTGATCTACAAATTCCGAAAACGCGACTCCAGCATCTATGGCGTCAAATCAAATGATTTAAAGAGAGCTATTGGACTGAACGAATATCAGGTTAACGATCAACGTAAATACACTTGTGACTTAATACATGTTCACAATGGAAACTGAATCACCTAGTACACGGTGCAAAAGCTGACGAAATCCCCGAAAGGTACCAAAATCCATCCATCGCTGTGCGCGCAGGTCAACTCAAATTTTCTTCGTGCTCTCATATTGGACGGATTTTGTACGCAGACACTCGCCGGTGCGTGCAAATGTAATTTAATGTTGCAGAGGATGGACTTTTCACAATCTAGCTTTGCAGCGAACATGAACGAGATCAGCGGTGACTAGCAGACTCGGAGGACGGCGGGAACGTGGAAAACCTACCACCGTACTCGCGGGTGCATTATTCTCACGATGGCTTAAAATAGAGCTCGTCCAGAACTGGCACCCATAGGAAAGCGCGCGTTAGCAAATCGTGACGTCATCATGTCTAGGGTCTATTCCCTAAATGAATTCGTTCGAATAGCTTCCCCGAGTTAACTCGGATAAAGGCAGATGGTAATTCGGATAGAATCAACAGAAACCGGTTGAAACCAACCGAACAAACCAGTTATAACTGGTAGTTCTGATGGAATCAGCAGGAACCAGTTGAAACCAACTGAACAAACCAATAATAACTGTACGTAGTTCTGATGGAATAAGCAGGAACCAGTTGAAACCAGTTGAACGACCGAGTAATAACTGGTCATTCTGATGGAATCAACAGGAACCAGTTGAAACCACTTGAACGAACCAGTTACCTACTGGTAATTCTTATGGAGTCGTGTATTGGTCGTGACAGGCCTGTAAGACGAACGTTTTGGCATCTTATACAGATAAGCTAACACAATGCAAGCTGTCGCGTCGTTTTAGCCGTGAAAGGTAGGGCGGATTTCGACGATGGATTGAAAATACTGACAAAGTAAGCTACTTACATGAAGTTGATGCTGTTGTGCTCCTGAAGTAGAGATAAGCTTGCTAGTTGACGACAATCGCCGGAATGACTATTTGAAGAACGAAACAGACTTTTTATACTTTTTGGATGTAAATGGACGGTGCAGAGCTTACGATAGTGGTATCGAAGGACCGATAGCGTGTGAGGAGAATCAGCAGACGTTCGTGATTGGCTGAAAATTATAAGATGTGAACTCCATTGAAACACCGATCCATTGACACGATTTCTTGACCAGTTACAGCTGCGATTAAATATTGACATGCGTGCACTAAAGTCCGCCATGCGTGCGCGTGCGTTTGACGCACGAGCTGGAACATGCAGTGTGGCATTGGATGGGGTCACGTGTTGTTGCCCACGTGTTCAGTGGGCGGGGCTTAATGGATTAGCCTATAGATCGTGGTTTCTTGGTTGATGACTCATCAAAAAACTTAACTTTCCGTCCAAGAAATGACAAAATAAACAATAAACTATTCGAAAAACAATGAAGCGATCATCAGCATTCCTTAAAGTTAAGTTTTTCAAATACTCTTGTTAAGAACAAACAGATACGTTACCCCATTTTCATATTTATTTTTGGAAATAACTGCAACTCCTGCAGAACCTGTGGATATTTTTAGTTTGGACCGGCCGGCCGCCCCCCCCCCCCAATTTGAGACCTTTGATGACATGCATACACCCGGTTCCTGTGTTGGGCTATCAGAGGCAAAGAACAAAATTACAATTTAATCTTGATATTGTGTAATGAAAAGACACGTCTTCTCTATCACAAGAGTCGATTAAATGTCATTTCCTATAATTATTCTTATCAGTAAAAGGTAATTTGGAAATATTTACCATGAAATCAGTAACTCAAAATTAATCTTTTCGACTTTACAGTTAATATTAAAACAAAGTATTTTACACTAAATATTCAGTTGAGACCCCCCCTCCACCGTTTTGTGTAATCCCGTTTGACCCCCAAACCCCCCTCTGGAACCGCGCCCGGTGTTTCATCATTTTTACACCATTTCCCGTTTTCTTCGAATCACCCCGAACCCTTCCAAATCCCATCGGCATGAACGTCGCCGGAATTTTGTCCAGAGGCAGCTATGATTACTTGACACTTGGGGTGCTGTTGAACTGTAAACGGAGACGTATCATAGAGCACGGATCTGACATTTTAAGGCCCAGTTTTGTCAAAAATCCACAAAAATAAACAGCATAAAATGACCTGGACTATCTTGTTCTCCACCCCCCGGCCCTACACAAGTGAAAATATCCTTTTTTTTCGCTATCCCGCATTATAAAATGCAAGGACAAAAATTCCAATGCAGTAATTAGTTCCCTTATCATTTCAGGGGAGAAACCTGCTGGTACATCATCCAAGACGCTTTGGATCCCTGGGATCTTCACTTGGCGTCGGCTATATCCATGCATGATAATCTACAAAGCCTTGTAATTATTTGACTGCATGGGTAAAGTCCTCTTTTTATTTCCTAAAGTAGAATTTGAACCATTCATTAAAACAAGTGATTGAAACAAAATGAATACGGCGCGAGAGAATATATGAACGTACAAAATAATATTCGAGTTAAAAAAGTATGCTTGTGCTCTAACAAACTTTGAATTTGTATGTTAGGCCCCCCCCCCCCTAAGTCTCCGGTTTCTGGTATGCGCACGCGTCGCCGTAGCCATGCGCGTCGGCAAAATGAAAAAGTTTTTTCTTTCAATGAAAGATGATGTCTCAAAACCGCCAAACTCACTGGTTTGACTGGAATACTGCTGCTGCACGATTTTAACGTGTTTTTAGATGGGGTTATGATCGAGAATAAGCTTTATGTGGCCTCTCTGGACTCCCATATATTTGCACTAAGTTTAGTCAGGCACCATTTGCAGTCATCAGCCGACATTTGGAGCAAAAAAGTCAGGTAAAAAAAAAAAAAGCCGCGTCGCCGCACCACTATAGCTCCATACCAGAAACCGGAGACTTTTTTTTTTGGCCTTACTGATATCAGGGAATTTTTTTTCTCCCGATTTGAGGAGTCTGCAGCCCTCGCAAATGGACGTTTCTGTTTTGCGTGTAAATGAAAACGCCCTCCAAAAGCCGAATCATTATCGAGCAGCAAATAATTCAATTTTTTTACAGAAATAATTCAATAACTAAACCTCGGTGGACTTCTTCGTTCGATGTCTCATTCGAAATTGAATAACTTATGATGTCGCAAGGAATACAGCAATTGAAAGTTAAATCTTTTACGGGGTCACACTCGAAATACACCTGTAACTGCTTTTGGCTACTTCATCTTCGCAATAACATATTAAAATTAAAAAAAACTTTTTAAGTATTTTGTTTTGTAGATATGCCTACCCAGCAACAAGGCATTCAAACGACAATTTTGTATATCAAGAGTTTTCTAGTGGCGTATCTAAGGCTTACCCCCACTCATGGCCTATGCCCCTCCCCCGTGAATCCCCCCCCCACCTTCTTAGAATTTAGGGGGGGGGGGGCTAAAAGGAGCGTTGATATTGTAAAAACAGTTGAGTGCCCTCCTCCAGAAAATGAGGTCCAATTGGATCCCCATCGATGCATCAGTCACTCCTATTGTATTTCTGTTGCAAATCTGTCAACTGTTTGCGCATTTCAAGACATATTAAACAATTTAGTGTTGGATAGTGTGTGTGGTTTGTAATTTGAATTAAACCTGATATCTCAAGAAAAAATAAAAGTTCATTCCAACTTTTACTTTCTCTTTTAACCCCTCGCCCGCCCTGTCTGTTCCCCCCCCCCCCTCGGCTATGGCCCGAACCCAGTTCCAGCAGATTTAGCAACAACACGAATCAAATGTCTGTGCGAGTTGCTGGCAAGATTTCGATCGGCCATGTGTGCCATATTTACATAATCTATTATAACAATCTTTGCATGAAGAACAGAGTCTATATTTCTGCTGCAGTCATCACAACAAAATTAATCAATGAAAGATGCGTTTTCATTGCTAATGTTGAGTTCACCTCGTCCCTTTACAAAACAAGCAGATTCGTATTGCTGTGTTTTGTCCCTAGAAAGACAAGCATTTTCCATTTTGAGAAATAGAAATCAAAGGACGAATGAAGCCGATGTGTAGGGAAGGAATAAATAATGTACACATTTCAAAATATTTGTAATCCGACAATAATTCAGTTCACGCCGGGAGGATTGGTCCCTGCCCCGATCATAATCGATAATATACAGAACGTAAACAAGTCTGCTGAACGGGCGGGTCTATTTGTGCAAAAAGTCGTGCAAATAAAGCGGCCTAAAATACAATGAAATACACTGAAATACAAGCGGCCTAAATGGACCAAAAAAGTTCACTCTTACACAATGTATTACATCCGTATCCCCCTATTTCCCATGCCTGGGAGATTTTGGTATATTTTCATCAATTTGCATCCAAGAAAACTCGTGGAACGGATGCAAAAAGATAATTAGGCTGCCGTTCCATTGTCACTGTCTAATAATCTTTCATTGAACAGGGACCCTCATAAATTAGATCGTTATTGATTAACAAGCACCATATCCAATTACGAGGTAATCCATTCTAGTGAGTTTATGAAAACCAGTGCCCTCGAACACGTCGTTACTTTGCTTGTAATTATTGCTGGCAGTGTGTGTCAGCAAAAATTCATAATCATAACACGGGGGGGGGGGGACTCTACCCCTCCCCCAAAAAATATATTTTGTAAAGAGTGCCCTTCTTTTTTACGCAAGTGCCCTTATTTTGTACACAAGTGCCTTTTTTGTCACCAGCGGGCTTTTTTTTTTAGTGCCCAGCAAGATTGGATTTTTTTTTTGCAGGATAACAGGGGCAGATAAATGCACACAAGGCTATGAGGGTCGTGGTAACTAATTAATAATAATAATAATAATAATAAAAGAACATTTGTAAAGCGCCGGTATCCGCCAAAAATAGGCGCTCATGGCGCTCGAGGAGAAAGTCAAGTTAAGATTGTGTGTTGTGAGAGTAAGCTTGTTTGTACAGGTGAAATTTTATGTTTGTCTTAAATGTTGTGATGGATGGAGATGATTTGATAGCCAGAGGGAGTTGGTTCCAAACTCGGGTTGACGCTGCAGCAAAGGATCTGTCACCCCACAGAGTGGAGGTCCTGGGCTCATGAAGCATCATGAGCTCACTGGAGCGAAGTCCGGTGCGTGCTGTTGAGTACGGGTTGATGAGATCGATGAGATACTCCGGCGCATTGTTGTGGAGGATTTTGTAAACGAATAGGCCAAGTTTGTATTTAATTCTGTATGATACTGGAAGCCAGTGGAGATCTGCTAGTACAGGAGTGATGTGAGAATGTTTACTAGTGAGAGAGATTAGTCTGGCACTGATGTTTTGTAGTCGCTGCAAACGGTTTAGTTGATTTAGGTTAATGCCATACAATAGTGAATTGCCCATGTCAATTTTGGATGTGATGAAAGCGTGAACAAGTATTTCAGTTGTGTGTTTGTCAAGATATTTTCGTATGTGTCCGATAGTGAATTGCCCATGTCAATTGTGGATGTGATGAAAGCGTGAACAAGTATTTCAGTTGTGTGTTTGTCAAGATATTTTCGTATGTGTCCGATGTTACGGATCGACATGCAGACTGATCTAGAGATTGATGTAAGGTGATGTTCCATGGATAGAGATGAATCAAAGATAATACCAAGATTTCTGACTTGATTTGATGGCATGATGGTTGAATCACCAACCCTTATGGATGGAACATGAACTTTGCACGATTGCTGCTTTGAACCTATGATGATAAATTCGGTCTTTTCATCGTTGAATTTGAGCCAGTTGTGAGTCATCCAAGAACGTACGTCATCAATGCATGTTTCCATCTGCTGGATTGCTGAATCAACCTTGTGTTGTTGAGGGTCTACTGACATATATAATTGGGTATCATCTGCATAACAATGATAGGATATACCATGCTTTCGAATGATTTCACCAAGTGGCATTGTATACAGAGAGAACAAGACGGGCCCTAGGACTGATCCTTGAGGTAGCCCAAAATCAAGAGAGACAGTAGATGAACTTGAATCATTGACCCGGACAAATTGAGATCGGTCATTAAGGTATGATTTAAACCAGTCTAATGCAACTCCATCTATCCCAATACGAGTGTTGAGGCGGCTGAATAATGT